CAACCAGCTCTTGGTAGTCTGGGGGGCTTCTGGACGTGGAGAGCCCCTTTTATCAATTGAATGAGAACAAATGCACCTCCCTGTTTGGAACAATGTCAGACTGGAGTTTAAGACCAAAAGCAAACTGCCAGCACTTAAATGCTACTGGACACACTCATAATTAGACCACCCAAAAAGGAGTTTTGGTTTTCACGCTCAAAACTTAGAATGTCATGTTCAAGGGAAACACAGCCAACGCCCCGGGACTCAGACCACACCTTCAGTTCTCCAGGGGTCAAGGTACTGTATGATCTTCAAAAATCAGCCAAAAACAGTCCTCAGAAGAGAGGCCCTGAGTTGGTGACAGATGCCACCTGAATGAACATCTCCCACTGTACACAGACCAGACGCTCCGAAGTCACGGCCAGACCAACACCAAGGGTAGTTCCACTTTCAGAGTTCGAAATCTCCACTTGCCCCTTGCTGGTACGCATTCTCCAGGAAGTTCCTTTACTCAGCTGACAACAGATGCTGATGTGCAGCTGGACAGGGTCAGCCCACCAACCAAAGGCTCAGGAGGCATGCGGAGGACCTGCTGGCCCCAGCTCATCTGCCTCAGAGGGTTTCTTCAGCCAGATGGGGCAGGGTTCCTGGCTATGAACCGGAGACTTGACAGCTGCTGGCAAGCAAGGAGTGAGGAGTGGGTGGGCACTCTCGCTCTTGCACGCGCGCGCTCTCTCTCTCTCTCTCTCTCTCTCTCGTCTCTGTCTCAGAGCATCAGGTTGGCAACCACAGTCTAAGGTGCAGGCTAAAGAAGCAGGGGACCAAGCCCAACCCACTGCTACTGCTGATGTAGGCTGAGTAGGTCACTGTTACAGGCAACCTCACAGCTGCCAGAGGTGATGGCCTTAGCAGGGAACAAGCCCTGGGGAACGCCATCCTCCAGGAGGAAGAGCAGGCTGCGCTGGGTGAGATTCTCAACTTCCTGAGCGTCCCAGGAAGACACTGTACAAACGTTTCAATCAACTGTCATTCACTGCTGCAAACCAATCATGTGACACACCCAGTGAGACTACCCAGCGTCTCAGCTGCTCCTTTCAAGAGCACCCCAGAGTGAGGAGGTGTTTCCTGCCTTCCTCACACCTCCTACCTGTTACCCAGATAGTGACAGAACATAATTAATAACATTGAGCAGGCATCAGAAAGATGGGAAGAGCTTCTCACGCTCAGTAGGGAAGACACTTGGCAGTTCTTGTCTCGCCCACAGCAAGTCCCTTTCCTGTCCCAGTGAGGGGGCTGGTTGGTGCCCAGGCCTGTGGGGCGGGGACCTGGGCCGGGTGTGGAGCTTACTCTGCCATGTGCAGTCGGCAGCTGCCCCTCCGAGTGGGCACCCAGGGGCCTGTGTCCTGTACCACATGCCCCAGCCCTGAGTGGCGAGCACATGAGGAGGGGCTTTGGCTGCAGCCCCCCTCCCCATCCTCATCCCAGTGAAATCAGAGCCTTTGACCACTGAGAGGCACCGAGCAGCCCCTCCTGGGCTGAGCTGGAGAGCCTAGGAGAGGTAGTGTGTACCAGGTCGGAGTAAGGTGCTGATGGGGCCATGGTCAGGAAGGCTGGACACAGCATCACTCCCTTGAGAAGGTGGCAGGTGTGGGCAAGAGCTTCCCTCCCCACACATGAAAAGGAAAATCTCCCTTCTTGCCAATCCTTCCCTTGAGGTCTTCCATTCCTCAGGGAGCAGCTGGAGCCTGACCCTGCTCCCACAGGACCCTGAAGCTGGGCTGGAGCTACAGAAGGGAGGAGGACACCACCGAGAAGCAACTTTGTCCTCAGCCAAATCGGCCAGATTTCTGCTTCCTCCAGAGACTCACCACACAGCTCCCTCCTACCATCTCATCCTCTTCTATTCTTGTAACAACTTTACTGAGATGCAACTCTCATCCCATAAAATTCACACTTCTAAATTATGTAATTCAGCCATTTTTAGCATATGTATGGAGTAGTGCAACCACCAAGTCTAATCTCGGTACATTTTTATCATCCTTCAAAAGAAGTGTGGTGCCCGCTGGTGGCCTCGGAACCACTGAGCTGCTTCCCGCCTGCCTCTGCCGGTCTGTCTGCTCTGGATGCGCCATGGGGGTGGAGTCCCGTGCCGCATGCTCTTGGTGATGTGCTCACTTCACTGAGCATCATGTTTCTGAGGCTCATCTAAATCACAGACCGTGTGGAACTTCATTCCTTCTTAGGCTGAGTGACACTCTATAGTGTGGACGTACCACCTGTGTCTGACCCTTCACCCCTAGATGGACGTGTGCAGCTCAGGCTACTGAACAATGCTGCAGGGAATATGCAGGGATGAGCCTCTGGGTGGAAGTATGTGTTCACTCCACCCAGTGAAGTGTGTGAAGAAGAGCTGCAGGGCCATGTGCCCACGTTTAACCTTTAAAGAACTGTTGGACTAGTTTCAGAGCAGCTCATCTGACACTAAAGACACTTGATCTCAAACAGTGTCCGCATCTGACAAAGCCACTCAGCACCTTTGTCTCCCCACTGGGCAGCACCACAGCACCAGCCTCCTGACCACTTGTTTCTAAGTGACCCTAGGACTTCTGTGGGGACATAGCCCTCTGTGGAATGACCTGGCCCCAAACTGCCTCTGACCATGTTACCCCAATATACAGTTATGTTATAAGCACCATGTGACTTGGAAAATGTGCCTTTGGGACTTCGCACTGCTGTATAGCGGGGGCTCTGGGTTGTAGGTTTGATTAAAGACGTATTTAGTGGATGGACTAATGGAACCGCCTGGACAAAGTTGCCTAAGCAGAATGCACCACGACTGACCCAAACACTTCCCGTGCACTTGACTTACGCTTGTCAATGGGTGGGGCTGCCCGCTGCAAGTGAACTACCCTGAACCCCAGCTCTGCAAAGCATCCCTCTCTGCTCTGCCACATGGGCAGAGCATGCATGTCCCCACTGCTCTTTTACACCTCCCAGCCAGGCTCAAGGCGGGCAAGGCCAGCGTTGGACAGTGGAGCCACAGACCCACCTTGCCCATGTGCAGCTGCTGCTGCTGGAACTGCTGCTTGTGTTTCTCCAGGAACTGCTGGTGCTGCTGCTGGATCACCAGGTGCTGCAGGGCCTGGGTGTTCTGTGGCAGCGGGGCTGACTGCGTGCGTCCCAGTGGGCGATGCTGTCGCAGCTTGTGGATAGAAGGGGACACTCGGTCTGTGCCAACCAGGGACTGTGCGTGGAGAGGCAGTGCTCCCAGGCCTGAAAGATACCAGTCTGAAGATAACATGGAGGACAAAGCAGCAGAGGGGAAGAGGAGGGGGAGGGGGGAGAGAGCTGCTGAGTGGGTGATGGAGACCGCCAGGCTGTGCCCTGCAGCCTCCTCCCAACATCCCAGTGGGTCTCAGGACCACGTGGCCGGAAGTCCCCTGGAGCCAGTCATCTACCGAGCCAGCCCAGGCTGACAGGGAGCCTCGAAACGCCCTGGGCCAGTTTCAAAGAGTGAGGAGCTCTTCCTGGAAGTGGCTGCCACATGACTGGCCCTCAGCGATTGCAGGACATTCTTCCCTGTCCCAGGAGCTAAGTTGTGAGGACAAAATTATCCTTAGGGTTTGAATCATTTTAAGTGTTTCTTTAACATTGATTTTGTGCACAAAGATAGAATTAGCTTTTAACAACCCTGAGGCTTGTCAGATTGCTTGCTGAGGTGGTTCCATCTTTGCAGTTGTGTGGGGATACTCTCACCTGCCTTGCATTTTAAGGTTAAACCAATGTTTTGATAGGAAGCGATCCTGCTTTAATTGGTATGTGAATCTTGTTTTAAAATGCGACCCACTCACATAGGAAATGACAAGTAACATTTCTCCTTTTGTATGCTTTTCATCCATTTGAATTATTTTTCTTTTGCAAATTGTTGGTTTAGTCTACCATTTTTCCATGATTCTGTGGACAAAAGGATCTGGCAATTCCTTTTCCCTGCCCCACTTGTTTTTGAGACTGAGTCTCACTTTGTCACCCACGGTA